AAAAGAAAGACAAAAGAATTCTAAGACAGAAAACAACAAAATGCCAATAGTAAATCTATTCCTGTTATAATAATTACTTTAAATATAAAAGAATTGACTTTACGAAGATATAGAAGGCTTAACATACTTAGAATTTTTTTAAAACCCAAGATCCAACTATATGCTGTTTTCAAGAGACTTATTTATTTTTAGAGATGGGGTCTTACTCTGTCACCTGGGCTAGATAGAGTGCAGTGGTATGATCATAGCTCACAGCAGACTTAAACTCCTGGGCTCAAGCAATCCTCCCACTTCATGTGTCACCACGCCTGGCTAATTTTTGTACGTATAGAACCTTGCTATATTGCCCAGGTTGGTCTTAAATGCCTCACGTGATCTTCCTGCCTCAGCCTCCCTAAATGCTGGGATTATAGATGTGAGCCACTACACCTGACCTAAGAGATTAATTTTAGATTCAAGTATACAGATAGGCTGAAAGGAAAGAGATGGAAAAAGATATTCCATGCAAATATCAACTAAAAGAAAGCATGGGTGACTATATTTACATCAGACAAAATAGACTTTACGTCAGAAACTATCATGGGAGACAAAGAAGGACATTATATGCTGATAGAAGGGTTAATCTACCAGGCAGGCATAACAGTTATAAACTGTGTACCCAATATCAGAACATCTAAATGTCTGAAGCAAACACCAGCAGAACTGAAGGAAGAATAATAGACAGCAACACCATGACAGTAGGAGACTTTGGTATTTCAGTTTCAATAATGGATGGGCCATCTAGACAGAAAATCTATAAAATGGACCCAACAGGTACATACAGGACGTGCCACCCAACTACAGCAGAATATAAAGCCTCTCACTTGCACATGGAGCAGCCTTCAGAACGGATCACATGGTAGGTCACGAAACAAATATTAACAGATTTAAGAAGTTTGAAGGCATAGTATCTTTTTCCTACCACAATGGAATGAAACTAGCAATCCAGAAAGAAAACTGGAAAATGCACAAACATGTGGAAATTAAACAATACACTCCTGAACAACAAACGGTTCAACAAAGAAATCAAAAGGGCCTGGGAGAGGGACTTTTTTTCAACGGGAAAATCTACCCTGAAATGAGAATAATAGAACCTAAAAACTTGTACCCTCATTTTAATTTGAAATTAAAAAAACTAAATAAAAAAAGAATTGCAGGCATAGCCCCTGGGATTGGAAATGCTTTAAGTTCCCTGGTTTTCCCCTATGGTGGGGGGGGGGGAACAAGAAAAAAAGGAAAGGAAAACAAAAAAGAATTTTGAGACAAATGGAAACAAAAATAACATGGGTTGCAACAAAAGCTGTACTGAGAATTTTATAGTGATAAACACATTAAAAAAGAACTCAAGCTAAGAAAGAACTAGAAAAAGAACAATGTAAGCCCAAAATTATCAGCAGGAGGAAACAAGAAAGATTAGAGCAGAAATTTGAAAAAAAGAAGAAAAAGCAAAAAAGCTGACTTGTTTTCTAAAAAGAGAAGCAAAATGAACAAAGATTTAGTTGGACTAAGAAAAAAAGAGAAGGAAGATGTCACAAGTAAAGCCACAAAAATACGAAGGACCATGAAAGACTAATTATATGCCAACAAGTTAGATAACATAGAAGCAGTGGACAAATGTCTACAGACACACACCTTACCAAGGCTGGATCATGAAGAAATACGAAATAGGAAATATAAAACCTGTAACTAGAAAGACATTTAAGTCAGCAACTGAACACCTCCCAAGAAAGAAAAGCCCAGGATGAGATGATACTGATGTCTTCCACTAAAGATTTGAAGAATGTTAATGCCAATTCTGAAACTCTTCAAAAAACGTGGAGAGGAGGGAATACTTCTAAACACATCTTATGAGACCAACATTACCCTGGTACCAAAGCCAAGCAAAGACACTACAGGAAAAGAAAACTCCAGGATTATATTATTGACGAATGTGGAAGCAAAATCTTTAAGAAAATATGAACCAAGTTCAACAGCATATTAAAAGGCTCATACACTGTGATCAAGTGGAATTTATCTCTGCAATGCAAGAATGATTCAACATATATAAATCAATTAATGTGATATACTGTATTAACAGGGTAAATATTGCATGATCGTCTCAACAGAGGAAGAAAAAGCATTTGACAAAATTCAAATCTTTTATATGAAAACTGTCAACAAACTAGGAATTGAAGAAAACTACTGCCACATAATAAAAGTCCTATATGAAAAGCCCACAGCTAGCATCTTACTTAATGGTGAAAAACACATTCCTCTAAAATCAGAAACAAGGCAAGAATTTCACGGTTGCCACTTCTCTCCAACATAGTATTGGAAGTCCTAGCCAGAGCATTTGGGTAAGGAGGGGGGGGGAAGCTTATGAATTGAGAAGGAAGAAGTAAAATTATTTCTGCAGCTGATATGATCTTCTATGTAGAAAATCCTAATAATTCTGCAAAAAAACTATGAGAACAAATTCAGTAAAAGTTGCAGAATACAAAATCACAATACTAAAATCATTTTTGTTTCTGCATAGTAACAACAAATTATCTGAAAAAGAAATTAACCTCGTTTAAAATCACAAAAAAATTTAAAAATTGAATACTTAGTAATACATTTAAAAAGGTAAAAGACATATAGTGAAAACTACAACATTCATGAGAGAAATTAAAGAATACGCAAATAAATGAAAAGACATTCTGTGTTCATGGATTTGAAGACTTAAAATTGTTAAAACGTCCGTACTACCCAAAGCGATCCATAGACTCAATGTAATCCCTATCAAAAATTTTAATAACAATTTTAATAAAAATTTTTTGCAGAAATGGAAAAAAAATTGCTAAAATTCTTTTGGAGCCAAAAGGATCCTGAATAGACAAATAATCTTGAGAAAGAAGAACCAAAGATAGAGGCATTGCCCTCTGGATTTGAAAACATATTACAAAGCTATGGTTGTTAAATCAGCATGGTACTGGCATAAAGACAAACAAAAAGCTTCTGCACAGCAAAGGACATAATTAACAGTGAAATGTCAACCTAAAAAATAGGAGAAAATATTTATCAATTATATATCTGATAAGTGGTTAATATCAAAAAAATGAACTCCTCCAACTCAGTAACAAGAAACCAAATAAACTGGTTTTAAAATGGGTAAAGGACTCGAATAAACATTTTTCAAAAGCTGGGTAAATGTCCAACAGGTGTATGAAGAGATGTTCAACATCACTAATCAGAGAAATGCAAATTAAAACCATGATTAGCTATTGTCTCACACCTGTTAAGAACACCTTTATAAATAACAAAAAAGGTAACAAATGTTGGGGAAGATGTGGAGACACATATCATTGATGGGAACATGAAATGGTACAGGTAATATGAAAAGAACATTATGGAATTTCCTCAAAATATTAAAAATAGAACAACCATATGATCCAGCAATCCCCACCTGGGTATTTACCTCAAATAATGGACATCTGGGTCTGGAAGAAAGATTTACATTCATGTGTTCATTGCAGCATTATTCATAACAGCCAAGTTTGGAAACAACATACATGTTCAGAGATGAATAAAAAAATGTGGTGTATACATACAGTGTAATATTATTCACCCCTAAAAAAAAGGAAATCCTGCCACATGTGACAACATGGATGACCCTGGAGGACATTATGCCAAATGAAATCAGACTGTCCCAGAAGGAAAAAGGCTGCACAATCCCACTTGTCTGAGGTATCTAAAGCAGTTAAACTCACACAAGTGCAGAGAAGAATGGGAATTTCTGGGGGTTGGGGGGAGGGGAAATGAAGAGTTGCTGTTTAATCAGTATAAAGTTTCAGTTATGCAAGAAGAATAAATTCTAGTGATCGGCTGTACAGCATCATGCCTGTATTATATGCGTCAACATTTGTTAAGAGGGCAAATCTCCTATTAAATGTTCTGCCATTGTTAACAACAACAAAATCCAGCTGACTATAAGCTATTGGAGAATTCTCAGTAAAATGTGTGTGGTGATTTAGGTAGCTTTTGTTTTTGTTTAGACTTTTGTTTGCTTGTTTCCCAGTATGGTAAAGCATTCTATGAGACCATTCTTGCCTCTGACATCCTTCTCGTAGCCAAGGGCTGGTTTTAGGCCAGTGTACCTGGGATTCCGATTCTATGTTAATAGTTGAGAGGCAAGCCAAAGGCCTGCATCTTCCTCACTGCTTTGAAAGTATATCATCCCTCTTTTATTTAAGTAAAATTATTTCTAGCTGGCCCTTGGTATGTTGACATGTAGCACTGATCTCATAATCTCATCAGCTAACAGAGGACAAATGGATTTTTATGTCTTTTGGAGATTAGTACTGGATTTAAATGAGGAGTAATTTAATGACAGCATGAGATTTACGGTGGGGAAAGGGGGAGGGGAAGGGCTTCAAGAGGACCACAGTGGAGGGTCAGCAGCCAGCTTTCATCTGCACGGTCCTTCTGTGCACTTGACACCTGGTTTATACCATGACTGACAGTCCTTTAAGAAAAGGTACTGTCATGAGACAAAGCTCTCTTTTTCTTTTTTTTTTTTTCTGTTTTTTCCCCTCCCTTTTCCTTTCCTTCCTTTTTCTGCTAAAGCGAGCTATGATGTGTAAATGTCGCACCTGTCACCCTGACCTCCTTGTAGAGCCATCCTCTAAGCAACTGGCACCTGATGCTCAGTACTGTGAAGGCAGCTTGTGGGAACCAAGCACACCAGTATGAAACAGGAAACTGAATGTCCTTGCCTGTCAAGTGGGGGTATCAGGCTAGGGATCAATGTGATGGCTTTCCTTAAGATTTGATATTTGTGCGGCATTTCGATGCATGTAAATGCTTTCACCGGTCCCTCTGATCTCCGAGGAAGTGCATTCAGTTTGAATTTGTCACAGTTTCCTAGCATGACTCTTAGGTGAAATGTCACTGACAGCTTGTGGTTTGCACTTTTTTCTTTCTTTCTTTTTTTTTAACTCTAGTCAGAAACAAGTAGAAACCATTAAACAACTGCAAGAAGATGCTGTCAGCCAGGAAGCCATCCTCAGGAAGAGGCTCCAGGAAGCCGGCCAACGGCTGGCAGACACCGAGGAACAGGTAGGCTGGCCCTGGGCTACGTTATATTCCCGGCAAGTCTCCTCCGATGAAACAAAAATGGAGGAGGAAGAACAACAATTAAAAAAAATAATAAAACAAAGAGGAACTGTGAAGTTCAGTCCCTAGCGACGCAGCCAGCGGGGGAAGTACAGGGGGGAGTGTAAGAGAGGCGGTGTCAACAGTCTGCTGATGAAACAGGCAACTTTGCAGAAAGAGGCAACTTGACATATCAGGACTGTGGCGCTGTAGAAATAGCTCAGCTCCCCAAGCCCATGCAAACACACAATTGCAGAAGTCCAGGAAAGGCTTATCGCTTCCCTGAGAAGAAAAGCACATTTTCAATTTGGGGTGTGTGATTCAGAATAAGTGCTTGCAATGGCTTGCTTTCTTGGCCATCCGATTAAGATCCAGTGTTAACTATCCACCTCCAGGTGAAGGATCGAGATCGGGCAGCCCCCTCTGCCCGGGAAGAAGCTGCGTCTTTGCTGCACACATTAGAGGAAGCAATTTCAGAACAATGGAACCTCCAAACTATAAATACTGAGTTATCGAACGCCTGCCAGACACTGGAGCAGAAGACAAGAAAACTGAAAAGTGAGTAGCAAATATTCACTTAAGCCCCATGTAGGTTCACCCTGAGGTGGGGCAAAGGGCTACAGCCATTTTTCTAGCTTACAGCCGAGGTATTATTACTGAGGGTGATGGAATGGCTTGAAAAGGCAGAAGGCTTTCCGGAGAGGTTTGCTTAGAGAGGAGGCACGTGGATTTAACCAGTAAGTCTCTTTTTTGGTTGTTTATTACAAGCTGAATTTCTCCGTGACTGTTTTCTCTTTAAAATAAAAATGAAACTTCTCAATATCTCTAAAAGTAAACAAGAAGCAAAGTCTTGCCCGTATGGCATATTTGACCTTACAGACTGTTTACATAGCCTACCCTGTTTTTATTAGCTAGATTTAACACATCCTATGGTAGAAAATGCCCTGTCTATTTTCTTATAGATGGTGATTTTAGGGGATTGGACAAAATAATTATAAATTTGTGTATCAAGACAGGAAGTATGTGTACAAATTCTTTTTAAATTTTCATGCATTCTTTTCATGCATATTTTTGCATTTAAAAAAATTGGGATCGCCATCATTTTTGCGCATGACCTAAACGTGCATAAGGAATTTAAAGAGGATTTACGTGAGAAGACAAGTGCCAAATTACGGATCTCATTATTTATAAGCCAGTTTCATTCCAGGAACATAGCGTGGCAAAAATAAAACTTATTTAGCCTCTTATCAGATAACTGCTTTTGTTCAGCTAGCTTCTTGCTCTATTAGTAGAAAGGTTCTTTTTATAGAAAGTGACTTGCTTTGAGGGATAAACAACTAAATATAAGCTTGAGATCATCTCGAGATGAAAATTTTCAGGCTCATGTTTGTTTTGGATTTCTTGTGCCCTTTTACTGTTATCTGAGAAAGCTACTCCACCGTTTAAGGGATTGTCTGGTTTCAGAATAGCAATGGTCATTCAACGTTTCATTGTTATGAAACCTTTAAGAACTCGCCAGCGTTCGATAATTCTAAGGTTGAGTTTAGTACAGTTGATTCTGTCCGGCAACGCAAAGCCCGCTTTCAATTGCATAGTCTATCTATTATTGCTCAGAGAGTTTTGGAGAAGCTTCCCTTGTGATTAGAACTGTTCGTGTCGAGACATGAACCATAAGGCATTCCAGATTTCACTGAAGGTGTGTCTGCTTTAGATACTTCTCAGAGGACTCATCTTTTGCTCCAGTTATATTCCTCTTTTGATTAAATCGATATTATACTCCAGTCTTATAAACTACTAGGAATTCATGACTCTCTTTCTCCCCACAATTTCCTTCAAGTACCTTCCTGGAAGAGTCAACTTTTGCAACTTATCCCAAAGTATCCATTCTTGAGGTTATGAACTTGCTAGCAGTATCTTCCCTGTTTGTCCTCAGGGGATAATTGATTCAATATTTCTAAAACCAGAATATGAAAGCTGTCCTGGGCTGAAGGCATGTATTTTGTTCTGCCTGGATACGGTAGGGTGCATAACTTCCTTTTTGTCTTGAGTTGCTCATAACCTGCTCAGATTTATGAAATCCCTTAGTTGTGTGTGTTATTTGCTGCCCCAAGAAGGCATACACACCAGGGTTTTGCTCATAAGATCATTTGCTTATGAAGATCTTTCTTATTTTTACTTATTTATTTATTTTTGAGACAGAGTCTCCCTCTCAGCCTCTCTCACAGCAACCTCAGACTTCTGGGTTCAAGTGATCCTCCTGCCTCAGCCTCCCAAGTAGCTGGGAGTATAGGTGCCTACAACCACACCCAGCCAATTTTTCTATTTTAAGTAGAGATGGGGGTCTCACTCTTGCTCAAGCTGATCTCAAACTCCTGAGCTCAAGCGATCCTCCTGCCTCGGCCTCACAGAGTGCTAAGATTATGGGTGTGAGCCACGGTGCCCAGCCTGAAGATCTCATGATGCCTTAACAGTCGGTGTTCAAGAGAAGAGAGAAATTTACGTAGCACACATTTTCAAAATGTGTTCTACATAGGATATATTCCAGATAGACTGTGAACAAATGCCAACGAGGTAGGACAGTTATCACACAAACACATTCACACACATCCCACCCTGCTCACTGCCACCCATGCTGTTTGAATTCTGAGTCAGACGCTTGAATTCTGAGTCAGAAAACAAAAATATTTAAATCCATTTAGCTTTTCTGGACACTCTCTGGTAGTTTAATAAATTCATAAAACGTTTAAAGGCATTGCTTTCTGATATATCTAAGAAGATTCATCAGCAAATTGTGTGGGGATGTAGGGGGTTTGTCCCAATGTTAAGATCAATATGCTCGGTGCTCATAGACTGGAGGTAGAAATTTGTTTGCAATATTTGGTTAGGAATTCCAAATTTTATGTTGAATAAGTCATCTTGTTCAAGTTTTCCAGGGCCACTGGGATGGAACTGACTTATGAGGTCACTAGTGGGGGTGCCTGCCTCTATGAAATGTGCCATCAGAACTATTAGATTTCTTGGGTGGTTCCTTATGTATTTTCTTTCTTCTGCTTCTTTGTTTATACCTAAGTATCTTGTTGACATAGGCCATACTGAATGATAATGAGTGTTTGCTTTCAAAAAGAAATTTAAAAGTTTCTTAGATCTAGTGTAAACACGTAACATAGATGCTCTTGTGTACAGAAATCATAGACCACTAGATTAAACTATCATCTCCTGAGTATTCACTATGATCTTGTGTACAGAAATCATAGACCACGAGATTAAACTATCATCCCCTGAGTATTCACTATCTCTTGTTCCTCTCTAACAGGAAATCTTCATCAAGTCTGTAATTTAATAGACAATGAAGGAATTGCCTTTAGGAACCATAAACATTTCCTTGAGGAATGATTCTGAGAGGCTCTTGTATATTATAATTCCTTATTTGTATATAGTATCTGCATGTGAACTTGCAGATTTAAAGTTAAACCTGTGCTCTAATTCAAAGCCTACAAAGAAAGCAGCTGTATAAGTTGGGCAAACCACATTACCTCTGCAAGCTTCCATTAAATGCAGTTGTTGTAAATTACAACATCACAACATCACAGATGCAGCTAGGAGCTAGGGTTTGGCCCTAGTTGGTAGGCATGCTCTCCCAGAGCACATGTGCCTGACGTGGATCCCCGCCTTCGTGACTGGTAAATGGGGAATGACATGGTAGTGTAATATGGAGGTTATACAGTTTCATTCATGATTTTCTTGGGAATAGGATCTGGACTGGTAGGAAAAGAACTCTCATCTTCAGCAGGAAAGGAAAAGAAAAATCCTCAGCTTTGCTGCTGAACAGGCAAAAGGAGCTTTCTCAGCTTTGTTTTGAGAAAATTAAAAACAAGTGTCTGCACCTGGGCCTCCCTCTCCCTAGATCAGCCGTTCTCAACCTGTGGGTCGCGACCCCTTTTTGACAATGAAAATACATTGTGGCATTAGGAAGGTTGAGAACCCCTCCCCAGCCTCACAGAGCCTTCATCTGTGGCAGATCACACTCTCCTCTGCCTTCGCTCCAGCAGCCTCGCTGACTCTGAGGTCCACTGCCACCTGCATCTTCTCTGCATGGCACCAGCACTGTTCCAGTTACAGCATCACTGGCTGTTCCACTCTGTTATTTTTGTGTGTACCAGTAACATTTCTGGTATCCTGCAAGGCATTTTAAGATGCCTGAGTGATCTATGTTATTTTCCCAAGTACTAATAATTTGGTAATTATTAGTGGGTTAGTACCCCGGTTATGGTGTTGCATGTATTTTTTTAGTGGTTTCTTTCTAATCTAATTTGTCTCCTAAACGCTGTGTTTATTCACATATACTTAACTTGGCATAAAATGCTCAGATCACAAGTGTATTGTTCAACCAGTTAGATAAAGGCATATTGAAACACAGAACTTCTGTGACCCCCAGAAACTTCCCTTGTGCCACTTGCCAGCCAATGCCTCTTCCCCGCCTCCACCACCCAAAGGAGCAGCCGCTGATCGGTGCGTTAGGTTAGCAGCCCATTCCAGAATTGAGTTATATTATAGCAGTTGTTTTTGTGTGTGTGTGTGTGTCTTCTTTTCCTTAGCATAATATTTTGAGATTCATTTATGTTGTGTTTATCAGGAATTTTTCTTTATTCTTTGTATGAACATTCCAAAATCTGGTGTTTTCCCTTTGTTACTGGATTAAAAAGCACTTGTAGTTTGGAGCTATGATGGATCAAGCTGCTATGAGCATTGAGGTAACAGGTCTTTGTGTTTTTAAAACACATATGTTTTTATTTCACTTAGAATAACTGTCTAGGAGTAGAGTTTTAGGCCATAGGGTAGTTGTGGCTCTAACTTTATAGGCAATGGTCAGTTTCTAGTATTTCATGCCCCCAACCCATTGTGTGGGAGTTCTGGGGGTCCCACATCTTCATGGTTTGAGAATGTCAGTCTTTTTCATTTTAGCCACTCTACTGCGTATTTCATTGTGATTTTAATTTATATTTTTCAGATGACTAATGATGTCCTTTTTCATGTGTGGGTTGGCCATTGTATATTTTAAAATAGATTGTTCTTTCATTATTGAATGTCCTTTGAGATATGTGTGTATATATATATCTATATACTTTAATATATATGGTGAATAATTTCTATTAGTCTGTGGTTTTCAATGAATCCTGATATTTTTAATACAGCATTCAATTTTTACAGAACATGAGCGTTTTTCAGTAACATATAAATTGTGTTATTAACGTCCATATTCCATAAACGTCAGCCACTGTAGACAGCTCATGTGATTACAACTCAAATAATGTTCTGGTTTTCATTTCCAAGAGTCAATTAATGGCGGGGCCTTTGCCTGAAAGCCTTATTGCACAGTCACATAGAAAGTTGTTTTATCTCAGCTTTGGGCAAAGGCCAGGTATGCAAGGCACCTGGTGCCATCCTACATCACAGGTGGCAACAGCGGGGACACAGTGGCCACTGTTTGAAGCCTACAGGTTCTAGAGATATTTGCAGGTCCAATGCCAAACCCAGAGATTATGCAAAGGTAAATGCAAATGGAGGTCATGAGGCAGCTTGTTTTGTCATGTGGAAAATATGGAAATAGTTGCTACACATTGCACAAAACAGCTGTTGAAATAGGTTTTCAATTTGAATGCTTTGAAATCCAGTGCGTCTAAAACCCAAGATTGCCTGGTGGGCAGGCAGATGGGCAATTTACACCGCTTCTACTAACTCATTATTTCTTCTGAAGCCAAGCCTATTTTGGTAACTCTAAGACAGTATTTGGTATTTTGGAGAAACTTGACTTTCAGAAACATCTGATGGCCACTGAAAGCTTTGGTGGCTATTATTTAGCTGGAGGTCAGTTGGAAGGTAGGACCTTCTTTCTTAATACAGTTAACAGAGAATTTCTAAAAATCTAATCTTTGTTAAAGATTGTAAAGTATTTGTAAGAAAAAACTTTTAATGAACAGGTTAGAAATACTTTTTTTAAAATGTATTTACTGGGCTTAGTCATACTTGTGTTAAACTTAGCTGAAAAATAAGTTATTTTTACCCAAAAAGTCTTATAAAACTTTCACATGGATAATTTTCTACATAATTCAAGCTTTTAAAGGCTTCTCCCCCCCACCCCCACCCCAGAAATTGAAAACAAAATTAGATTAGGGGGCCAGACATGGTGGCTCATGTCTATAAGATGGGCAGATTGCTTGAGCTCAGGAGTTTGAGACCAGCCTAAGTAAGAGCGAGACCCTATGTACACTAATATATATATATTTTATATATATATATATAAACTAGCCAGGTATAGCGGCAGGCACCTGTAGTCCCAGCTATTTGGGAAACTGAGGCACAAAGATAGCTTAAGCCTAAGATTTTGAGGTTGATAGTGATGCCATGGCATTCAACTTCAGGATGACAGAGTGAGACTCTGTCTCAAAAAAGAAAAAAATTAGATTATGTACTTCTTTTCACATATATTAGCATTGTGTTCATGACTCAGAATTTCTTTGGGCTATTAGGATACAAAATTGTTGACCTATACAGTAAGCACCAGATTTCTACGTGTTTTAGATACCAGAGTATCTGTTGTTAATAAATTTTCTGGCTCTTAGTGATTTAAAAAAAAAAATACTGGTAGCTATTAATATGCTTCCATCTAGCAGAGCTGCCTAACCTCGTTTAAATTTTGCTTTTTATCTTCTGCGGGCTGAGAAATCAGTCAAGCTTGTGAGAATTACATTCAGAGCGGCGCCCTGCTTGAGTTGAAGTGTGAGATTTGCCATAGGAATAAAGGGCATGGATATCAGTAGCTATTCTGGTTGTTCAAAAGATTTGGGCTTGTTTTCTCGTTCTTGGCTATGTTTCAAAGAGTATGGCTTGCTCAATAAATAATATGTAAATCAAAGAGTAAGATAAGTATTTTTCTCCGTTTCCATTGTTTTGGGGATAAGATTTTCGAAGTTATTGGCAAGTAGGTTTTTAGTTACATAGAAAAGCAGATATTTTAAAATTCACAGAATAGCACACTACCGTGAGCACTGTTCCAGGAGTCCAAGGTCAATTCCATGGCTTACCAGTTATTGCTTCTGTTCTCCGGACATCAGTGTTTGTGTGATTTCAGATCTACTTGTAGGATTCTGGGATTCCGGGGCTATAATTGTAGGATTCAAGCTGAGGCTTATTAGAGAGAGGATTTCTGTACAGTAAGAGGTTGGACGGAATGACTTCTAAGTATATTCTTATTTTAAGACTAAACAATTCTGATTTGCTTCTAGAAGACAATTCACTTGCAGCTACCAACATAAATTTTAAACACCCAAGGGTGCTAATGGGTTTGCTGCTCAAGCTTGATTTTCCATTTTCCCCACTCATTAGTTGTGAATGGTGAGGACTCTCAGAAGTCAGCCTTTTCTCTCTCCTTTCCTCCAGGCCCCAAATCGAAAGCCATTAAAAGGTTATAAGGCAATGATTTGAGTTTAGAGAAAAGAAGTTAAAAATAATCCTATTGACCCATTATAAATTCTCTTTGTAGCAACAATTGAGTCACTTCGAAAGAAGCTAATTGAAGAGGCACTCCGTGGCTTGCTATTTCAGGTAAAAATTTAAAACAGCAACAAAGAAACACCTTCTGTGACATGTATTTACTTACCGTGCAGGGAAGCTGTCTCATTCACTTGAGGTTATGAAGCTAGCTCACAATATGTACATGACTTTAATCGTTAAGTTAAATAACCAACTTAGAAGAAAATGCTTTGGTGAACTTGTTTCTTGTAAACACTGAAAACATTTAGCAATACTAGAGTAGAAAACTCACTCTACTGAGGCTCCTGATAGCATCTTCCAAAGAGGAAGCATTTTAGAATTTACTTGGCGCGGCCACCGTATCTATTAGCAAAGAGCCAGTTCTTTAGTCTTAGTCACCTGCTTTCTGAGCGTAAGGGTGCATCCTTCAAGTTCTAATCACATGCTGAAATTTTGAGTGCCTTTGAATACACTTTGCTGATTACTGTCCCTTCTTTTTCCTATTTGAGTTAAACTTTCTGCCCCTTTCTGTCTGGACATCTCCAGATATCCCCCGGTAGACTTGAATGTATTTCTCTCCATCATGATGCTTGGTGAATCTCCTTTTTGCTCATAAAGAAAGAACATAAGGGACCAGCAAGGTTGGCAGTGGAGAAGGGGATGGAGGAGGAAAGAAGAAGGGTGATATTTGCGTGTATCTGCTTCCAGGGTACAGGACACATCTGTTTAAGCAGAAAAAAGAATTATTCTTGTGGAAGATTAAGCTAGGAAGAGTGCCTAAAAAGCCCTTTGCAATACGTTGAACTAGAAAAGCCACATCTAAAGATGCTTTAATCATCTCAAGAACACCAACATTTTGTATTATAACGTAACTATGATAGATATACATCTGCCTCTGGGGTCAAGGCCATAATTTGCATTCACTATCTGACTTCTGTCTCCAGCCAAACCAGCTTCTTTGGCTTCTGCCTTAAAAAGGTCAGCGACAAAACCTTATTTCTGGTTCATGATCTTTAGATTTTTTTCTGTAGATCAAGTGATCAGCCTCTCAAAATACAATGAGAGGTGTACAGTTACCAATGTACTCCCTTACAAAATTTTTAAAAACTGATCAATTTTGCCCAGTTTTGAGTGGTGTCATATCTTTTTTTTTTTTTTTTCTTTTGAGAGAGAGCCTCAAGCTGTCACCCTGGGCAGAGTGCTGTGGCATCACAGGTCACAGCAACCTCCAACTCCTGGGCTCAAGAGAGTCTCCTGCCTCAGCCTCCCAAGTAGCTGGGACTACAGGCGCCTGCCACAACGCCCAGCTATTTTTTTGGTTGCAGCTGTCATCGTGGTTTGGCAGGTCCAGGCTGGATTCGAACCTGCCAGCTCAGGTGTATGTGTCTGGTGCCTTAGCCACTTGAGCCACAGGAGCTGAGCCAGTGGTGTCATATCTTAAGTCTTATGGGTTTTGTATCTTTGGTGCTCTTTTCATTCTGTTTTTTTGTTGTTGTTTTTTTTTTTTTTTGAGACACAGCATTAAGCTGTCACCCTGGGTAGAGTGCTGTAGCATCACAGCTCATGGCAACCTCCAACTCCTGGCGTAAGTGATTCTCTTGCCTCAGCCTCCCAAGTAGCTGGGACTACAGGCACCTGCCACAACGCCTGGCTATTTTTTGGTTGTAGTTGTCATTGTTGTTTGGCGGGTCTGGGCTGGATTCGAACCCACCAGCTCTGGTGTATGTGGCTGGCACCTTTGCTGCTTGAGCTACTGGCGCGGAGCCTTTTCATTCTGTTTTTGAATGCACTACATCATATTCTCCTGACAGAGCTTTTTAGATGAGGAATTTCCTTACTACGATCCCCTCTCCTGCACAGATACAGTTCAACAAACTCTTCTAGAAAAACTGGTCAGTAAAAGCCTTTTGAAATTATAGAGGGTAGTCATTGTGAATCAACTGTTATACCAAAATAGAAAGCTAAGTCCAGTGTGAATTCGTAGACTTCCATTCAAAGTTATATTGCTGAGAGATTCGCAGATGAAACAATGGATGCCTGTTTTTTTCCTTGATCTCACACACATGCACATATAATTCTGGTTGGTCCTGAGAAATAAGCAATATTTAAAATTTTTATTGCAATATCATGAAGAATTATATAACTATGCTTGCTCCCTCACACATGCCATTTTTCTCAGAGCCTTTATTTCTATCGAAGTGTCGATTATTTGGAATTGATGATGTTAGCATTCTGCCAAGTTTTTGAACTACCATATTTTGGATACTAATTATAATTTACTTGTGTTATATATTTAATCAAACACATCAAAGCTTTTTTTTACTTAACATTTACTTTCTTCCTGACCTCTCTCACAGGGTCATTTGAGAATAGTGATATTCTTTCTACCTTTGAAGGTAAAAAGAATAGAATGTGAAATATGTTATTCTCCTCTAGACAGCTGATAATACTTGGTTTTCCATTCAGAAGCAATGTTGCCACAAACTGTATAGTGGTCAAGAAGCAAGATTACATCAGACGCCCTTGACCTTGAAACACACATCCTGGTACACACCTCTGCTGGGTAAGCCTGGGTAGCCCCTCTCCTGTCCCTGCTCAGACGTAGCAAGGGGTGGGATTCATTTTGAAAGGGAACATAATCACAATTATGCTTGTACAGGAAGAGTTGATGAATACTAAGACATTTATCCCTGAATTCAATCAATCAATACATATTTAAGCACCTACTCTGGGCTGGGCACTATATTCTGCATAATAAAGAATTAGTGGCTCATCGCTTGTAGCTCAAGCGGCTAAGGCGCCAGCCACATACACCTAAGGTGGTGGGTTCGAATCCCCAGCCCAGGCCCGCCAAACAACAATGATGGCTGCAACCAAAAAATGGCCAGGCATTGTGTCAGGCGCCTGTGGTCCCAGCTACTTGGGAGGCTGAGGCAGGAGACTTGCTTGAGCCCAGGAGTTGGAGGTTGCTGTGAGCGTGATGCCATGGCACTTTACCCAGGGGGATAGCTTGAGGCTCCGCCTAAAAAAAAAAAAAAAAAAAAAGAATTAGTCCTAAAGTCATTCACAGACTAGTGGGGAGACAAAATATAGACTCAGAGAAGTCAAAGAGGACTTCATAGAAGAGGTTACAGGTGAATTAACCTTGAAAGATGGGTTGGATTTGGAAGAGCAAGCCATGTCAAAAAATAATAACAATAATACCATATTCCGATGGGTAAGAACAATATAAGCAAAACCAAAGAAAAAAATAAAAAAGAAAGTACAAATGCAACAGTCTTAAGTGTTTGAAGAAGAGTCAAAACTGGACTAGTCATTTTGGAAACAAGAGGATTCCGGTTGAGATACAGTGGATTATAATTTCTGGAGAAGGAGAAGCAGATGTGAGCCCCACTGTAGACTATTACTCAATACCAGGCTAAGGAGAGAGAGCTTGGTTCTAGGAAATGCTCAAAATAGTGACAACTCTAAGCACAACCCAGATATGGTTAAAAGCAAAAGTTAGTGTCTGGTTTTGAAATGACAAAAGAATTTGGATAGTTATCAAAATCAATTTAAGAAAGAATAAAGAGAAAATAGATTTGTGGCTCATTTAAACCCGAGAAGGAAAGACTACCAGGACTAACAGAGTGTCCATTTGCTGTCAGACAATAGATGAGTGCTTTACAGAGACTATTTTATTCACAACAACTTGGTGATTGCCACCACCACCCGTAGCAGCCCTTAAAGCGTGCTTGCTACGTGCCAGGCACAGTGTTACACTGCTAACATGTCTTATCGATTCATTTAATTCTTGCCACATTCCCATGAGGCAGGCGTTTATCTAATTCCCAGTTTAAAGGGGAGAAAACAGAGGAACATTAGGTATCTAATTTGCCCAAGGTCGTCTCTCACTTTATGTATAAGTCACTAAAGCTCACAGTGACTTAGTTACTTCTCCAGGAAGTAACTGTCACATTCCCCAGCTGGTATGTGACAGAGCCAGGATTTGAACTAGAAATTTGTGATTGACTCCAAAGCCTGTGCTTTTCCCATTAAACTCTGCTGCTTGCTCAGTGCAGAAACACACTTACAGTAGGATAGTTACCCCAAAAGAGTGATTTATCACCCCAATCTTTTTCCCGTATTACTTTGATGGGTTCTAAACGTCGTATCTCTAATGCTTTTCTCTGCAGGAATCTGCAACATTGTTCAGTAGAGGGCCAGATAGCAAATACAGTAGGAGCTCCGTAGTTGACCCCTTCCCTACACGACCACCTCCTTGAGTTGACCTAATTTTCACAGACTGGACATGCACCATGTGTATGATCAGTTCAGTAGGCCTAGTTCCTGATGTGGACCACCTCTTATGTCAACTGGTTCATTACAGACCCTTCAGTGGTCAATTTACAGAGGTCCTATTATATTACAGTTTCTGCTGCCAGTATTCAACTTCACGGTTGTGTCACACAAGGGTCTTCCGGCCTCCCCCATGCTCCCCTTTCTTTAAAAAAACACCTGGCATTTCCACCCTCATGTAACTACGCATCCAGGGGCATTATGTTAAAATGTTCATAGAATTGGGTTTACTTCTGCTTTTTCAGAAATGGTCCAAGCTCTCAAAAGAGGAAGAATTTATGCTTTAATATGGTTTGAACCAGAAATCAATCTCTATTTTTATTCTCTTCTGTTCTGCTGCAGACGCCTTATCTCTGGATAGCTTCACAGTGGTTCCAAGGCTGGAAGTGACGCCTTTCTCGTGTGGAGCAGACCCAACCCATGCTCTGTGTAAAAAGCCTGAATATGAAGAAATAAAGGATGGTGCTTTGGATGTGACCAGGCGACTCAAGTAAGTTAAGTGAGCAAAGTTTACTGACCCTGCTCTTCATGGGTGGCCCGTTCCTGTTGCCTCACATTTTCATTGATTGATTTTCGTATTCTGAGATCATAATATCTTTCTTGTGAAACCTCTCTGAGTTCCTGAAGATTTACAATTTTTAAATAAAAACAACAGCTGTGGTTTTCTCAAAATGTGGTTTTCTTCTTTCTCTTCAACCTCATAATATCCATTCTGAAATTTAAAAGACCAATTAGACCACCTAAGTTGTTTCTCAGTTTTTAGGACCATATCCAGACTGCTAAGTTAACCTAGGTAGGTTTTGATCCTATTTCTTTCACACTCAAGCTTAACAAGTGGTTGGGAGCCTATGCCCATCCCTATACCCTATCCCACCCTTCTTAAGAAGGGATTCTTTTTAAGAATATTGACTCATCTTCCTATTCAAAGGGGGGAAATCCCCACGGTCACTCACCAACGGACTTTTTCCTCTAATAGTCTCAACACTGTATTTTCGACACCGCATGTGTGGGTCACCCCAGCCCACCAACCAGTTCTCCAACAAACACCAAATGGGCATTATCTAATTCAATTAAATCCTGACACTGTTCATTTGGAGGTAGTGTTAGATGCCACAGGTTAAGGAGTCAGTCCCACAAAACTGCCCCCACTTCAGATGCCACTTGCAAGTCTCAGGTTTTGACCTGTACTTCTGACCACATGGCTATGAATTGGATGTTCCCATGACCCCCTGCAAAGAATGGCTCACAGAACTCAGGGAAACACTTGACTTATGCTTACCCATTTACTACAAAGGATATTATAAAGGATACGAATGAACAGCCAGATAGAGAGGTACACAGGGTTTGGAAGGGTCCCAAGTGCAGGAGTTTCTGACTCTGTGGAGTTAGGGTGTGCCACCCTCCTGGGATGTGGATGTGTTCTTGTTCATCAGCCCAGAGAATGTGTGATCCCTGTCCTTTAGGATGTTTATGGAGGCTGCATTATGTAGGCATGATTAATTAAATCATTGATTATCGGTGATCCACTCACCAGTAGTAGTGAGCTTCTGCTTCTCCCCTTCCCAAGGAAGTGGGGCTGAAAGTCCTAGGCCTCCACTTGCAGGTTTGCTTCCCCTGGCAGTCAGTCCCCATTCTGAAGCTATCCAAGACTCCACCAAGAGTCACCCCATTAGGAAAAAAGATGCTCCTATCGCCTTGGAATTTCAAAGGATTTAGGAGCTCTGTATCAAACACTATCTCTCAGGAAATTACAAAGGGCTTAGAAGCTCTGTGTGGGGAACCAGGGTCAGAGACTAAATATTAGAACAAAAGATTCTCATAGTGCCCCCATCTGCAAGGATTTTAGGAGCTCGGTCTCAGGGATTGGGATGTCAACTACACACTGTGAAGCACACACACTGTCAAGGTGGGTTTGGCGTATTTCTGTCTCCTCCACACTCAAGGTTAAAAAGCCTTTGGGAACCTGTCCTCCCTACACCCCGTCGTCTTTTGATGTTCACTTGTGCTCACTGTCTCTTTAAGTACACAGACTAGGCTCGGCGCCTATAGCTCAACCGGCTAAGGCGCCAGCCACGTACACCTAAGGTGGCGGGTTCGAATCCCCAGCCCGGACCCGCCAAACAACAATGACGGCTGCAACCAAAAAATAGCCGGGCGTTGTGGCGGGCGCCTGTGGTCCCAGCTACTTGGGAGGCGGAGGCAGGAGACTCGCTTGAGCCCAGGAGTTGGAGGTTGCTGTGAGCTGTAATGCCACGGCACTCTGCCCAGGGGGACAGCTTGAGGCTCTGTCTCAAAAAAAAAAAAAAAAAAGTACACAGACTAATCCTGCTTAGGAAAAATTCAGAAATGTCTGTGTGTTTGTAAGGTCTGTTGACCCCAGTGAAATTTCCTTTCTGTACTGAGGATGGGGAAGGAAGACTTTGAATTGCAAATTCTTCATTTTCATTTTTGGCTGCATTTTCTGTTGTTCATAACTTCTTTCTGGTGAAGGTGGGAGCTGTCTTTCATTGTGTCTTACATAAGCCACTGATTCATTTAGAAATTTGATAAAATTGGGACTGGGGGACGAGGAGTGGGGACTATGTCGTAGTTTGGTATCTGCTAAAATTCTCTTTCTGCTATCAGGTCCTCAGGCCCCACCGGTGGCCCTCACCCAGGGACAGATTTTTCAGGTGGCATTGGGATGACTGATGACCTAAGGATGGACGTGAGTATTGGACTAGGGTCAATTTCAATTTCATTTTCAGTATTACTATATCCTGGTTCTCTTTTGTGGGTATTCTTTTTCTCTTCCTTTTTCTTTTCTTGTTTTCTTTTTTAATTATTTAAGTATTATCAATACTATTATAGCAAGTATGTGTCTAACACCACAAAACTCAGATGCATGAGAAATATCAACCTTTGAAGTCAAGAAATTAAAATTCAGTCATTTGGGGGCCTTTCTAACCCCCACATATGTGAACTCTGGGTTATGTAACCAAAAGGAAATTTTCTTGAAGTGTGCTAAAGGTTTTGTTGGAGAGGCAGGCTGGTTTAGGACTTAAATTCACTAATAACTATAAGAAGTCTCAGGTCCCATGGATTCTCTGAGAGAATCAATGCCAAGGTTGAATCTGTGAGAGGCTGGCTCTTTGTCAAAGAAGACCACAGAGCAGGGCCACACCCATGGAGATTATTCATTACAATAATATGGTTCCCTACCCAAGAAAAGAGTAATAATGAATAGCTTGAAGGTCACTTAGGTCAACTGCCTAGATCCTTGAGATGTGGTTGGAGGGCCTTCCTCGTTCTGCCTGAGCAGGCAGGATTTTCTCATGCCTGATCCTGAGCCCCGTAATCCTCTCAGTCAAGTGGAATAGACTGTTAGATTTTAAGATCCGACAACTTGGTTTCCTCCATTTTTTTTGTAACATTTTTATTGAGGTAGAATTCACGCACAAAACAATTCATTACATTGTTTAATGATTAGATGACTCTTAGTCCGTATAGTTACAGAGTTGTGTAACCACTGCCACAATTTTAAAACATTTCAATCACCCACAAAAGAAACCAAAAGAAACTGCATGCCCGTTGGCAGTCTCTCCCTAGTTTCCCCTTGCCCAAGCCTCCAGCTCTAGGCAACCACCAGTCGCCTTTCTGTCTCTATACTTTGCCTATCCCGGGTATCTTATTTAAGTGAAATAACAGGTGATCTCTTGTGCCCAGCCTCCTTCCCTTGACATAAGGTTTGCAAGGTCTATCCGTGTTGTAGCTTGTTATCAGTACTTCATTTATTTGTATGGCCAATAATAGTCCACTGTCTAGATATACCACATTTTGTTTATTTGTTCACCAGCTGATGGGCATTTGACTTATGCCTACTTTGGGGGCATAGTGGGTAATGCTATTATGAACATCAGTGTATAAGTTTTGGGGGAAACATGTTTTTAATTGGGGGGAGATATATATCGGAGAGTAGAATTACTGCATCCTAGGGCAGCCATCGGCTTAGTGTATTTGAGGAATTGCAGAACAGACTTCCACCAGGCTGCACCATTTTTCATTTCCCCCAGCAGCGTATGAAGATTCCAATCTCTCTACATCCTCGCCAATGCTCGTCTATTTTTTGGATGCTAGCCATCTTCATGGGCGCAAAGTAATATCTCATTATGGCTTTGATGTGCATTTCTCTAGTGATTAGCGATGCTGAGACTCTTTCCATGTGCTCATGGGCTATTTGTATATCTGCTTTGGAGATTTGTCTATGCAGATCCTTTGCTTATTTAAAAAATGGGGTTATATTTCTTTTTACCATTGAGATGTACAAGTTGTTATTATTCTTCCTTTTGAGCGTGTTTATCTGACATCTTTTTTTCTGTTCACTAGTACTTGTCTTGTTGTGTAGCTAAGAAAAAGAAGAAGGAAATGAATCTATTTTGCTATTACTTAGCAGTTCTTATAACATTTTAATAAAGGAAGTTGAACTTGGAAGTTTACAGGATGTTTGGTTGTTAGTAATTTCCCTTTTATCTGGCACTGACTTCACTGAAAGGAAGGAACAGTTGTGTGCTGGGCACTTTGTAGGCCACATGCCATTTTATTAACCCTCCCTATGCTTTGAGTGTCTGGTATTCCCTGCTTTTTACAAAGGAGGCGACTGAAGTTGAGAGAAACTTGCTCAAGATCACTCAACTAGTGAGTCGCAAAGTCAGTTTAGATTCAGGTTTGTCCAGCTCCAAAGGGCATGTCCTTTTCACCACCACTCAGAGCGCACTGAATTTAGACATTTCAGTCATAATAATCCTTTATGGTTATCTTGAAAGTGTTTTTTTGGCCAAGAAATGCGCTGCTTTGTACATCTAAAGGCCCTGCTCCTTGACTGTCATTGAATATGTGACCAAAGTGTTCATCTAGGTCTTGACACCCATTGAGAAATAGAAGCTTAACAGGGATCACAGTGGAAACTCCTATCAAATGTGCTTCGGGGAATGTGTAGGTCCCCACAGGCTGGCTGCCTTCCGTGCCGTTTCCTTTGTGGTTCCCAGGGATTAATCTTCTGGCTGTATTTTGTGATGGATGCCACCAAGTCCCCACCTTCCTCCTTCCAGGTTTCTGCTCCACTGAAGAACCTACATAGCCCAGTAGCTGTACTCCCCACGCCCTCCCTTTATCTCAGCGTCTCCCCACCTAAGGCCCTTTTATACTCCCCTATCTTTTAAGCACAGAGAAAGGTCTCCTTAGAGCAGCAGTTCTCAGCCTGTGGGTTGCAACCCACAGGAGTAAAGGGCCGCAGCATCAGAAAGGTTGAGAACCACTGCCTTAGAGAATGTTTTTCTAACCATTTACTTTTGTAATGAGTATAGGGGATTAGAATAAGACAGACATAAGAAAAACATAACCCATGTTCTTCCCAGTGGACCCCCAATTGATAATGTTTTCTTAACTCCTTGGTTTTAAATGATGGATTTTGTCAATCTCTACAGGATTATGACAAACAACTTGGTGTTCCAGGCCCTCTCTAACCTGGTGGCAACCCACCTTTCCATTTCAATTTCCTCATCACTGCCTGTGGTTGTCGCTGCCCGTCAGCCACACCAGGCAGCCCGTACTGTCAGCATAGATCACACAAACCAGTTTGGGCCGCCTCCTCCGCCCAAACCACTGGGCCTTTTCCATTTATCAAACTTCTATTTGACTGTCAAGGCCTATTTCAAAAACCAATAAAACTTTTCTCCTGGTAGCATAAAATGTTGGCAGTCATCTGCGGTCCTTCTTGAGGCGGAAATCGAAACAGAAGGGGAGAGATCAGGTTTTTCCCTGGGTCGGTCCTTTGGAAAGCTCTCATGATTTGAGGCCTGAGTTTGCTCATTTCTCAACTATCCCACTCAGGAAAGAGCTAAGTTAATTCCTTTCTTTGAGATCCTGATAACTCTTTGTCCTCCATTTTTGGTTACCTATATTCTGGTTGCATCATAGTTATTTGTTCTTTTAATCACTACATTAGATGATCAGCTTGCCAGAGTGCCTTTCTTTGGCCATTAATGAGTATGTATCTAGCACCCTGCATATATTTGAGTATAGTAGAGCTCATTAATGTTTGCTGAATGCCTGTTTATTTTGGCTCACTACAGGGTCTATTTAAAAGAGTGACCGTGTGCCTTTAATTAATATAAGTGCTTTATATAATGTAATATATGTAATATGATATAAAATATAATGTATAATATATATAATATATAAGTTTACTTACATAGTATTATGGAGAATATAATATCTATAAAATATTATATAATATTATGTTTCCTTATATAATATT